TTTATTAATTTTGTTGGAATTTATTTATGGGATGATTGAAAAACAACTGCCCGAACTTTTGCAGGCTGTGTATTGGTGACGCTGGAATGCGCGGGAATTTCGAGCTTTTTGCGGTACTGCAATTCGTATGTGTAGATGTATGGATGGATAGTGCCCAAAAATATGTAAATAAGAAAAACACACTGAGACACAAAAGTTATTTCACGTCGGCTTTGGGAATTTATTTAATATATATTTATTGGATGGCCGACGGAAATACTTGAACTTTAGGAATTGGGGTGTAGTTATGTAGAAAAATATGTATAAATGTATTTATGGAATATATGTAATATGGATGTAATATATGTAATCAATATGGCGGAAAATTGTGGACTGTATTTGGATTTTTAATAATGTAAGCAAATATTGTCACAGCGAATGTACAATAAAAAATTAATATCAAAAAAATATTTGTGGGCCGAAATTGGCGGAACATTTAATTTTTGTTACCCTTTCTTGTGGGAAATTAATTTGAACTCAATTTTGAAATTAATTTATTTTTCACAGTTCACTGAATTTTTTTAAAATTAATTTATTTTTCACTGTACGCTTGACTTTTTATTTGCACACTTTAATTTGGATTTATATTTTTTATTTTCTTCAATTTGATGTTGGATATATATTTAATGGATGTACGGCCAAATGCGAATATGAAACTTGTAAATCAATATGCACACGAAAAGGAATTGGAAAATAGGCAATATGGCCGCACGTTAAAAGAGAACGATGAAATAAAAGACGGAATTGGAATTGTAATTTACTAACTGCTGTCGCCGGATTAAATCGGACTTGGATTTTAGACAAATCGTACAGAAAGTCAAACGAATTATGTTTTTCGGATGGCTGACTGTCGACCGGCAGTTAATAAAAAATTAATAATATGGCAATTATCCGGCTCGAAGGACCAAAAAATGATTAGTTGGGGCGTCGATGAGTGCTCGTCGATGGAAGGCAGCTTCGTCGGGCGTTGCGGCTGTTGAACGTATCCGAGTGGCAAGCTGTGGAAGAGATTTGCAAAACACTCGACGATCGCGAAGCGCGAGAGAAATGAAAAAACTCGGTAAACTTTTTCGTGGTAATAGCGCGGACCGGCTTGGCGATGTATTTCATTCGTTTGACATTGAAAAACTAACTTAAGCCTAATTGAGCGCTGCGCTTCAAAGCGCAGTGGAGAGATTCCGGGAGCGGGAAGGCGGGAGAGCCTGGAATCGCAAGCGTCCAGTGCGGGAGAGCGGGAGAGCCTGGAGTCGCGAGCATCCAGTGCGGGCGAGCAGGCATTCGCCACGAGGGAAGAGCGGGCAATTTAAGAGAGGGGAGAGCGGCGTAAACATGCAGGATCACTGGCGTCAATCGTTGCTTTGCTCGGATGAACCTGCTCCATGCCCATGAATGATCGAACTAAGGAATCCAAATCTTCGTAAGCGTGGTGGACTTGTGCGAGCGTATATGCTTCGTTACAATCATTATAGCTGCCTGTAATAACCCAACCAAAATTAGTATGTAGTGCGACAGGGTACTCAATATCAAACTCTCGGTAATGTCCAGTATATATGTTCCATAGTTGATCTGGGTCTAAAATTACGTCGATTTTTCCCGGTGCTCCAAACGTCGGGTCAGCTAACGGTAAGCTTCGAATCTTGTTTCAGATAGGAGCGCTGGATTTGACCTGTTGAGCGGGAATCAAAGAACTCAGAGAACTTATAATCAAAGCAGATACCTCCAATTATCCAGTCGTGGTTCTTGAAAGCAAAGTGAAGCTGGCGACCTCGGCTAACTCCAGCTGGGTTAGCACCTAAACCAACAACTGAGATGCGAGCATGCGTGCGTGGAATTCCGATACTTTGGATAAAGGACTCAGCTACCATGGTTATTTTTGATCCAGTATCGAGCAATAACCTACATGTAGTCAGTCTTGTTGCCACATGTGTCAATTACATTGGCAAGTTGGAAGTAGGGCTTGCTTTTTAGCCCTCTCCACAGTATGATAGCTGACAGCGGCAATATTCATATCAGCATCATGATCAATCAAAGGAACTATATTTACCTCAGCGGCAGACATATGGACGGAAGTCAACGGAATCGATCTTGACTCTTCCGGGTGGACTAGCGTGTGATGCTTAGCGTTGCACTGACGGCAAGTGTTCGAAGAATTACAATCCCTGACTTAATGCGATCGACTTAGACAATTAAAACAAAGCTTAGTATCCCTGGCGAACGTACGTTGTAGTAAATCCAGGGCTTTGAATTCAGTGCATGCATATATATTGTCGCGAGAAGACTGATTTGATCCACTTGCATGATAAGCGTCTTGGCGGCGTCTACTCTGGGCTGGTCTTGAAGGTTGCATTACGTGTATATCCTGACAAGACATCAAAGTATCACAATGAGCGAAAGAAAAAGTGAATAGATTATTTATGGTGACGTCTTCCTTGGACGACACACTACAGTTAGCACCAACTTGTTTGATTTATGGGTCTAACTTGGATAGCAAAATATGAATTAGCCACACATCGCGGCTGTCACAGTTCAGCGAGTGTAGGCCTCGGATACATTCGTCGGCAGAGTCAATTACCCTACGCAACTCAGTGATATTCAAATTGTTAGCGGTTGGCGACGAAACAAAATCCTCGTACTTTCCAGAAAATGTCGGAATGCGAGTTAATTGCCCCTTGCAGGCACCACGTTATTGAAACGTCCGATGCATTATCGCGTTCATGACGAAAACGGCGGCTAATTTTTTATGTATTATTCACAAAGAAACTCAAAATCAAACGTGGGTATCCGGGTACTCGAACTGTATTATTTTTGTTTATAGGTATTGAGATTTTATATATATATATTATATATATATTTATATATTATATATTTATATATATTATATATTTATATATATTAATATTTTATATTATAACAATGTGTTTTCAGCGGGTTGCGATTAGCGAGCGGTTGCGGTGAAGTCAGAACTTCAGAATGCGTACACTAAAAGACACAGTCAAAATACACCATAGACAGGGCCGCAGTATTAACATGATAGGATCTGCAGATTTTAAATACTTTAAGACAATAGTAAAACGGATAGCAAAACATGCAAGATAGACTCACCCCACTTGCAAATAGAGCAGTAATAACTGAATTGAAAAACTTATTTACTCCTATAACCTTGGAAAAAGTAAATTATTGACCTCTGTTGCTTTAGACAACGTCGACGTAAGAGTGACACGAATAAAAACTAATGTTAGTGTGACTGAAGTGTTAGCGGTGGATAACGTAAAAATATTATTTGCATTGTCTAGTTAAGTTAAGGTTTAATTATAACCCGTACACCATTCTGTGTCTTAAAGAAAGCGCCGGCCGTGCCAGTAATGACAAAAAATCCATGCGGTCGAGCACCACCAACAAGTCTACTGCATCTACACAAAATCAGCTTGAGATCTTGGTGGTCAAATCGATGTGGCAAAATCCGGTCCGTATTGAGGAATTCAATCAACTTGTTTATATATTAACATTATATTATATTATATTATATATTAATCTTCTACTATAGGTTGTGATAATAGTTTTGAAGAAAATTGTAAAATTAAATAAATAATAAAGTAATTTTCGAAACTATAACCCTTTTTTGAAAGAACATTCATTTTTATGTTCATGCGGTTTATGCCCACAGCTAATTTAGTCAAAAGTTTACAGTGAACGGCACAGTTCCATCCTATAAAAAGTATATTTATTCTTGATCAACAAGTTTAAATATTGATGTAACTTTGCAAAAAATCAGGTAGTATATAAGTCGGAGCGGGGGGATAGTTCCCATAAAAACAATCGGGAAAAAAATGTAAGAAATACAATTTAAACTTTGTCGTTTTTTAACATATATTCCGAGATTTGGTAATTAAAACGATTTAAAAATTACTTATTTTACTTTTACAAAAATAGGACGACTATATCATATACTACAGCTGCTAGAGGAACAATCGAAAAATGTATACAAAAATCAACAAGCCTTCAATATTTTTATGCATTGAAAATAAAAAAAAAAAAAAATATGGGATATTGAATTTTTGGATCACCTGCAAAAGTATATAAACATTAGCCTCCCAAAGTTTCCTTCCTTTCTTGTTTTTGTACATTTCGACTCTCCTTTTTATACCCTTGCACATGGTATTATAATTTTAGTCAAGAGTATAAAGTATATATTATATATTCTTGATCAGCATCACCAGGAGAGTCGATCTGGCCATGTCTGTCTGTACGTCCGTCTGTCGGAACGAGCCTGATCGGGCGAGTATATCATTTAGATACCATAGGAACAATCGGATAAAAAAATTTCAAAATGTTTTTTTGTTCTTTGGGATTTGGTAATAATTAAATAGATTGACAGTATGACCGTAGCACGCTTAATTCTGATGAACTCTCGAAAATGCAGTCACTCTGGAAAGATTAAAGTTTTTCCGCTGGCGAACTCGTTTGCGATCTGAGTACTAGGCTTCAGCTAAGAGAATGAGAGAGCGAGCAAAAAGCTGGCGGACCCTTATTGGCAGACCATTCATTCACCCCGGTAGTCAAATCGACATATCAACATAGCGTTGCCAGCTTTCTGAAATGAAATCTGGCTGGAAGTTCGTCAGGCCCTAGCGAAAAAATTAAAAAATGTTACGTTTTAAAGTGTGTGTTCTTAAAGCAAAGTGTTTCTCAGATGGACAAGATGGAAATGGATGAAAAAGCCACATCTTGGCAAGCTAAATGTTGTGTTGAGTAAAAAAATTATTTATATTAGAGTGGTCGAAAAGAAATTTACTTAGACTGTGCGTAAATATTATCGAAAGAGAGTGGGACCTAAAAAGGCTCTTATAAATGTATATCACGGTGAAATTCGAAAGCTATGTTTAATTTTTAGCTCTTTAATTTTATGTTTGTTTTCGAACCTATTAATGGTTTTATATAAATAATTTGCTCTTATATTTCAGGAAGATTACACAAAATCCAACCAGAAATAAACGTGCAGCTAATACAGTTAAGTGATGATAAAAATTATTTGGCCTGGTTAATTAATTGACTTAATATTTGATAATTAAAAAGCCAAAAAACGTGTAAACAAATTAAAAAAACTTCGGGCAAAATGCTAAACCGTTTCGAAGCAATATTTAATATTCTGTATGTGGGTCTTGGATGTTTACTTGCAACAACTGTGGCTTTAAGCACCGATACCGGAAGTGATGGCAATGCCGTCAACACTGGCGCTTCAACCCTTAACAATGGTAAGTACTGTTGAATAAAAACTTTATAATTATCTTAGATTGTTCTTACAAAATTTCGAAGGCTTCGTACATTTTTATACCCTTGGAGAGGGTATTATAATTTTGGTCAAAGGTGTGTAACACAGTGAAGGAGACATTTTCCGACCCTATAAGGTATATGTATATATTCTTGATCAGGATCACCTCCTGAGTTGATATAAGCATGTCCGTCTGTCCGTCGGTCTGTTTCTACGCAAACTAGTCTCTCAGTTTTAAAGATATCGAATTAAAACTTCTTTCTTTCCTTCTTTCTTTTGCACGCAATATATAAGTCGGAACGGATTACTATATCCTATAGCCATATATCTGATTGATCGGAAATGCCATAATTTTGTGTTTGTAAAGTTAGGAAGTTGGGATTTTCTATGGGTTTTATATTTGGGCAATCAATCCGACGTATCAAATTTCATAAGGATCGGCTGACTATATCCTATAGCTGCCCTATAACTGATTGAATGGAAATACCATAACTTTGTTGTTTGTGAAGTTAGGAAGTTGGGATTTTCTATGGGTTTTATTTTTGGACAATCAATCCGACCTATCAAATTTTATAAGGATTCATTTGTCAATAGACCGTTTGGGCAGTTTGAGCTCTGTTTAGAAACTAAAAGTAAAATACAATTAAATCAAAATGAGTTGAGTCAAAATTTGTTGCTGGCCGAATTTGGTCAGCGCTTACATGGGCAGGATCGGATTTCACCGTCCGGATTACCACTTACGCGCACATCCGGTGTTGGCCCCAGATCGATGACCGTAGTCGGGTTAACGCCTTCCAATTTTAAGTTAAGGCCGCCTCGGTCTTTCCCAGTATATCTGCCAGCAGCTTGTCATTTCGGCGGTTCTTCTTCTCATTTCAGCGACGGATCGCCGATTCGCTGCAGATTGCGATGGCTTAATTTGGGCATAGAGTAAGAATCTATATATAGGTTTAATTTTCTCTGGCCGCACCTCTGCCAAAGCTCTGCTGAGTACCATGTTCGAAGCTATCATCGCTTTCTCACCACCCCTAAAATGTGCGAAGCTCAAGCAATAGTACGTGGAGTTTTCGCAACAAAGCGTCGATCGATGAGACGGCGCATTATCGTGCAATAAACGCCAACTTCCATCTTCCCGATATTTTGGCCGAATACGGCTCACCAAACGCTTCAAAACTCCAAGGTAGAATACCGCATAAGCGTTTTGGCCGGGTGGAACAAATTATTTGTGGACAATATGAGGGTGGTCCGATAAGTACTTAGCCTCCAAAAGAAAAATGAAAATTTTGGAAAAGCGACGATTTATTTCTCAACATAATTTCCTTTTAGCTCAATACACTTGACCCAGCGATGCTCAAACTTCTTTAACCCGTCTGAAAAATACGTTTTCTCGAGGTCTGCAAAATAGGCCTCTGTGGCGGCGACGACCTCCTCTTTCGGCGCAAATTTTTGTCCAGCGAGTGACTTTTTCAAGTTTGGAAACAGAAGAAGTACACGGGGCCAAATCTGGAGAATATGGTGGATGGGGTTGCACAGTTCGTAGCTCAGTTCGACCAATTTGGCCTAGGCTAGGCGGAAGTGTGAGCCGGTGCGTTGTCATGATGGAAGAGCACGTTTTTCTTCGCCAAATGGGGCCGTATTTTCTGCAATTTGGCGGCGAATCGGCCCAATAATTCGGCGTAATGCAGCCCTGTGACCGTTTTGCCCTTCTCCAGGTAGTCGATGTAGATCACACCTTGTGAATCCCAAAAAACAGTGGCCATCACCTTTCCGGCCGATGGGACAGTCTTCGCCTTCTTCGGAGCAGGTTCGCTATCTCGGCGGTCTACCAATACGAGATCGTGGATTTTTGACACGTTATCATCCGTGGTAACCGTTTTCGCGGCGTGGCTCATCAAAAACCGACGTGCGACCACGTTGAAACTCCGCCATCGGCGGTGAGGCTAAGTACTTATCGGACTGCCCTCGTATCCTTTTTGTTGTGAAATCGTAAAAATAGATTGAATGTGTATTAATGTTATATTCCTGAACTGCTTTAAAACCCAAGTCTTCAAATATCTTTTTCCCGTTGCTTTCTTTAGGCATCTCAAACTATTAGTTGAGATTGAGTGTATCCTTTCTATTTATCCGTTATTTGTTTATGCATACGGTACAGTAGTGTCAAAGACCAATATAAACTATATATATTTATAAGCTATATGATTATATTGGTCTTTGGTAGTGTGCACTGATATTTTAAGTTGATCCTACCTTCTAGTTGCTGCTGAACTTAAGGGGGTATATATCTTTTTTGTCGAAAAAAATAGGAAAGTTTGGATTTTTTTATGTATGTAACTATTGTTTTTATTAAATGAATGATTATATTTTCTGAAAGTTTAGATTGTGGACAATGTTTATGCAAAAATTTTTGAAAAAATATTTAATAGTTTTTAAGGTGTGGCTGTTTCCCTTAAACGCCTTTTTTTTAAGTGCCTTGCGGTGATAATTCCCCAGGACAAATGGGTCAACTGATACTGAAAAAATAAAAATATTTCATTAGTTTAAAGTAGTATCCTGTACTTGAACGAAAGTTAAAAAATTTTTTTTTTTGTGCATACGGGAACGTTTAATGCAAAAAATGACGTTTTTGGACGCAAAAATTCTTAAAAAACTATCTATTTCGGCGAAATAAAAATTTTTACATGAAAAAACGATCGTTCAAGTACTAATAAAATTCATTACGAACATTTAAAAAAAAATTTGAAGAAAATCAGTTCAGTAGTTTTTCGCCAATCCATATCACCGCAAAGTCATTTAAAAAAAAAACCAATTCGAGATATTCGCGTTTAAAGTTTCAAGTTTGGGTTTGGGCGGGGACGAGGCGCGCGGCTAGGATCGCTGTAACTTTTTTTCTACTGCTCAAATCTCTATGAAAATGTTGGGAAATATTCTCAAGAAATGGTTCTTTAAGATAAAGCAAAAAAAATTTCCATTTCTTGAAAATGAAAAAGGTATATACCCCCTTAAAGCGCGTTAGTTATCCATTACGATATATATTCTGACATAGTAAATAATTACTATATCTCAAAGGAATATTTTGGTAAATAGATATTTTTTCATTTTAATTATATTTTCATTTTTTATTGTTCCTGTGGGAGATATATGATATAGATGACCGATTTTAATTTAATTAAAGCCGTAATTCCATAGTATTAAAATATTACCAAATCACAAAGGAAAAAAATTCAAAACAACAAAGTAATACTTAAAAAAAACTTTGTTCGATAGTTTCTATGGGAGCTATATGATATAGTCGCCCGATTCAACTCGTTCCGACTTATATACTACCTGCAAAATAAAGACAACTTTTGGGAAAGTTTCAAGCAGGTAGCTTTAAAACTGAGGGACTAGTTTGCGTGGACACGGGCGGACGGACGGATGGACATGGCTAGATCGACTCTCCTGGTAATGCTGATCAAGAATATATATAATTCATAGGGTCGGAAATGTCTCATTCAGTGCGTTGCAAACTTTTGATTGAAATAATAATACCCTCTGCAGGGGTATAAAAATAATAACCAGTGTTAGAGCTGTCTAAATGAAAGACGTACACATATGTTGAGTTATATTTTCAAACTGTTTTTATTTTGTATAAGTTCTAGTTTATAAAGATTATATAAGATTCTTACAACTACTTAACTATATACCGACAGGTTGCGGGGGTAATGTTGTGACCCGAGCGTGGGATCATTCTAAGTGCGCTAAGCGGCATTTCAGCTTCCCCGATAGCACTTATCTCTAAATATATTCTACTATCCCTCACAGGAGGTCCAGTACTTATCATGTGCTGAAAGGGCACAGATATTTTGGTTTTCAGATAGGTATTTTTAGATCAAATACAATGCCATGTTCAGGTGTAAACATTCTGCAAAGGGCCAGGAGGAACTATGGCTTGCATGCGCCATTGATACGTTAATTCGTCTTATCATATATACAATTAAAACTAACATGATAATTCTACGATTAAGGCCGCGTGCCGCAAATATCATGAAATTAAGCACTTTTATTTCCTAATGTTTTTTTATATTTATTTTACTTAATTCCTTCATTTATTTATTTTTTCATTATGGGTAATGACAGGTAAAGTTAATGGATTCCAAACAATACTTGGAATCTTACTTATGTTACTTACGATACGAAACTGCTATTGGCTCATAATTTTCTGAGTTATGTGATGGGCTATTAATATTTTCCTTGTTCCGGAAGATCTATTAATTATTGTAGAAAATTATTGCATTGTATTCTAGTCTTTGTTTTTTCTGAAACCTTGAAACCAACTACCTTTCTTTTGTAGCTCAACCCAATAAGAACTTTCCTGAGTCATTATTTTATAAACACAATTAGAATGACTATTTTTTTTAAGGAAGTGATCTCGCAGGTATTTTCACTTACGATATTCCAAGGCCAGTTACCTTCACATATAACTTTATTAGTTTTCAATTTTTTGGACTTATTTAAGGTAGCTTCTGTCATTAAATGATAGAATCAATTTCAAAAAAGTAAACTAAATATTTTGAATTTAAATCTGCAATTGGTTTTTACTGGCATTCGAATTACCCTAAACAAATGGAAAGGGTGTCAACGAAATAAGGGAATTTTTACTTTTAAAATTAGTTTATTATCTACTAAAATTTGTTTAGCCGTTAATAAAGTATAAATTTCCTTTATTTCCGTTCCCGTTCTTTTACCTGCTAGTACTAAAGTTTCTAGTAATGCATCCTTTATCCTAGCTATTTCCGATTTCAATTACATAGGCTTCAATATATTTGGATTTAATCTACGATGGTTAATATCTATAAGTAGGTTAATTACTTCTGCTTGAATCTTTTTGCACTCCTTAATTAAAGAACCTAACTGTTTAGTTACCATAAAGAAATTAATTGACTCTTTATAAACATAGTACATTTCTTTCAAAACCTGTATTCTCGTATTCATGCTTCTAACATT